GATAAGAATGTAAATGTCACACACCCAAACTGGAACGACGAAAACGTTCGGGGGTAGATGACGTTATGTACCGTATCACAACAAATGCATAATAGTAATCAAAGTAACAACAATCATTGTACTGATAACATGGTATTTACATTGTGATCAAAACATTGTTTGTTTAACATTAAAAACAATAGCAAAAGATGAGACGTGATGCTACTATGCTCCGTCTTCGTAACGCCTGAGAGGGTACCTATCTACTAATTTTCCTAAGAATACAAGTGGTTTGAAAAAGTTTCAACATTTAAGTTGGTGAGTTTATAAGTATTTTGCTTGAAAAGATACGTTCTTTGTTATTGAAAAACGTTAATGTGTTCTTCCAGAAAATCCAATATTTTCTTAGTAAATAAGTTATTGTCTTAGTACTTTAAGAACAAAAAGTATAAGTTTCTTATGTTTAAAATCTGTGATTCGAGGTTATGGTTCATGTAATTGGTATGACCCGTACTGTTACCTCCTATGATTGCTTAATGTATACAAATTATATATAATTAAGATCGAACGGGCAGTCGATTGGGTGATTCTGCCCTAAGCCCACAACCAAACAAGGAACAGGAAGTAAGGTGGAAATCACACATTCCACTGCCTATCAGATCTTTATTGTATATAATCCTAACTTATACATTAAGTAATCATAGACTTTAGAAATAAGGATCCTCGATATATGTTTTTCTGAACTTCTATTCGTACCGTATTAGTAATTAGTATAATGTATTACGTTTTGTATAACTGTGTGTAATTCTAGAAATCCCGTAACTTCCTTCTATAATTCCTTAGTGTACACAAGTTATATAAAATCAAGGTTCAATAGGCCGTCGAATGTAATGGATCTGCCATAAGCCCACAACCAAACAAGGAACAAGAAGTAAGGCGGACCCAAACATTCCAAGTCGATCGGGTGTTAATTTTATATAACTCTAGCATATACACTAAGCAATTATAGAGTTGTCCTAAAACCGACGTATATGAAATATTGTACTTGCAAATAATGTAATATTGTTTTATTATTTAAATAAAACCCTTGAAAGTATATTTGCCCTGAAATCCGAATGTAAAGTTAATATTCAAATAAAATTATTTGAAAATATATTATTCGTAAATATGTCGTTGTTTTCTCCTTGTGAGTTCTTATAACCATAGTAACCCAGTCGCCCTGATCGCGACGTTATTTAAGCGTCAGAATGTTAACGATATTTGTTACCCCAGGCCTGCCGGCCTAACTATAGCTAACAGTTAAGGTGTACGATTGTCAGTCCCAAATAGATCTATACACAAATACCTCGCTCTCCCTACAAGAGACTCTGCTTATAAGGCAGGACTTTTACCAGTACTTAGATAAGTACACGAAGACGTCTCAAAAATTGCTTCAACGTGTTTACGAGTAATAACTGAAAACCCTTTTACTTTATAAGATTGTTTCCGTATTGTAACTTGAACTTTGTAAAATATTACCTTTGTTCCATAAACTATACCTATTATAGTTTATAAGTTTGTTTCCGTATTGTAAATTGAACTTTGTAAAATAGTACATTTGTTCCATAAACTATACCTATTATAGTTTATAAGTTTGTTTCCGTATTGTTAACTTGAACTTTGTAAAATAGTACTTTTGTTCCATAAACTATACCTATTATAGTTTATATGTTTATTTCCGTATTGTGAAAACCGTTGCGTTTTAACATGTTTTGTAAATCTTTGTAAATTTATTAGTAACGGTATGTTGCTTATTTAATAAATTTCACGTTTAATTGCATATTAACGGTAAGAAAACATAATAAGCAATTTATGTTTTTAAATAAAAGATTTCTTGTGTTTTACTTGTATCCCCCCCACTAAAACAATTTAAAAATCGTGAAAACGTAGGGGTATGAACTCACCTCGAATGTGTGTGCTAGTTTGTACGCGAAGTGATTGCGAAGAATCCCCGGGATAGAATACGTGAATGTAGCCGTGTCCTAATAATATTTATAAACGATATCGTATTTAAATTAATAAGATATCAATTTAAATAATAAATTAAGTAATGGTTTAAATAATAATTAAAGTGTTAGAAAACACTTTAATTATGTAAGGAATACTTACAAAAGCGTTAGGAATTATTTGGAATAGTTCTAGGCGTTTTCAGTGTAGGCTTGAAGATTTGAAGATACTGATGAATGTTCTTGGTGGAAATAAGAAGATCTAGGTAGAAATCTCTTGAAGATATGGGGTTTATGGATGATACTTGAGAGCAAAAAGTGAAGTGTTTGCGGTGTGAAATGTGAGAAATGAGGAGTGTTTTCGGATGAATATATATATATATCAAAGTGTTTACGGCGTTAAAAGGCCTTGGCTTTTGGGTTTTCGGTCCTATGATGGGCCTAAGGAGGTGATTTCGGCCATAGCAAACCGAAAACACCCTTTTGAATCTATTTCACAACCGAAAACTCCTTGTTTCATCTTTTCTTGGCCGAAAACTACTCTTACTCTAATTTCTTGGACCGCAAACCCAAAGATCCTTGGATCTTTGGACCGAAAACTCATATATAGGGGTTATTATATGATTTAAACTTTAAACTTTTAATTTATGTTGACATATATTAGCTTAAATCAACTTAGGTTTTAATCCATGCTTAGTTACTAACTTATAAACATGCCCTAAGTCTATAGATAATACAATGCAACAAAGATTGCAATGTTGTTTCACTTATACTTGGTTAGGGTTTAAACCTTTGCTAGATCTAAAATTTTCCGATTGTGATAGTAAATAAAAATTAAATTTTTAAATAAATAATTTGAAACTTTTTATATAAACGAAAAGATGTCTTGACAACCAGTGCCATTACGAAAATTGATTTAGCAACTCCCACACTCATCCACTCTTTTAACGCCGGCACCACCGCAGCCAAATGGAGAGTATAGTTCTGTATCCATCTCCAGGGATGGGCCACCTCATATCAATGGTAGAGCTCGGAAAACTTATCCACAGACACCATCCTTCCTTCTCCATCATCGTCCTCACACTCATCCCCTCTTTTAACACCGGCACCACCGCCTCCTATGTCCGCAACATCTCCGCCACCTTCCCTGCCATCACTTTTCACCATGTTCCTGATATCCCTCTTGATCCCCAACTTTACTCCTCTATGGAAGCCATCACCATTGAGCTTTCTCGACTTAGCACCCCGAACATCAAGAATGCTTTACAGTCCATTTCTCTCTCCTCTCACATTACAGCCTTCATCATCGACTTTTTTTGCACGCACGCGATGTCTGTGGCTACTAATTTCAACATTCCTGTATACTACTTTTCAACTTCTAGTGCATGTTGTCTTCAGCTACTCCTAAACTTTCCGACACTTCATGGAACCACGACCAGAAGTTTCAAAGATATGAACAAACTCATCCATTTGCCAGGGATCCCCCCGATACCCTCGTCCGAGATGCCAGACCCACTTCTTGATAGAACATCTACTGTTTATTCATACTTTCTTGAACTCAGTGAGCACATACACAGATCAAATGGGATCATTGTCAACACATTTGAATCGCTAGAACCAAAAGCGATTAATGTCATGACTAACAGTTCGTATGCCACAGATATGCATGCGCCACCAGTTTACGGCATCGGACCGCTTGTTGCTGGCGATGCTGATGGTTCTCATGCATGTTTGAATTGGCTAGATTCTCAACCAAGTCATAGTGTTGTTTATTTGTGTTTTGGAAGTTTAGGTTTGTTTTCAAGTGATCAGTTAAAGGAGATCGCCATCGGGCTTGAGATGAGTGGACATCGATTTCTATGGGTGGTACGAAGCCCACCATCGAACAATACAGAGGACCGTTTTCTGCCACTACCGGAACCAGATTTAAATTTGCTACTTCCAGAAGGATTCTTAGATCGTACAAAAGATAGAGGATTTGTAGTGAAGAATTGGGTGTCACAAGTGGCGGTTCTCAGCCACGAGTCTGTGGGTGGGTTTGTGACTCATTGCGGGTGGAACTCAGTGTTGGAAGCAGTATGTGCGGGTGTTCCGATGGTTGCTTGGCCGCTTTATGCAGAACAAAGGTTTAATAAGGTGGTGTTGGTGGAGGAAATGAAGTTGGCTCTACCGATGGATGAGTCGGACGGTGGGAGGGTGGCGGCGACAGAGGTGGAGAAGAGGGTGAAGCAGTTGATGGAATCGGAGGAAGGGAAAGCAGTTAGGTCGATGGCAATGAAAAGAAAAGAGGATGCTGAAAAGGCAATGAGTGACGATGGGTCATCTCGTGTTGCATTGTCCAAGTTAGTTGCATCATGGTTGCCATAAATGTGTACAATAGTGTAGGACAAATGTTATGTCATAAGTACTTGAATAATGCATGTCTTGCTTTATGTTCGCCTAAATTTGGAATGTGATGTAATGATTTTGTTATTCTCAATGGATTAATAATCTGTAATGGGAAATTTTAGTTTCAATTCTTTTTCTCAAAACAAACACATTAGAATCTCAAAAAGTCTCGTCGGACCCCAATCCTGTGGGGGCCCCGTCCCGTATGGGGGCATTTGTTGAAAAAAATCGGGGATGGGGCAAGTTTAACCCCCGTTTTAGTTTTGGGGCGGAGGCGGGGGTTGGCAGTCCCGTCCCGAAACCGTCATGGGGGCCCCGTTAATAAATTATATATATCGACATATATTAATTATATAAATATAATAAACGATAAAATGATTTTTACATACAAAAATTCAACAAAAAAACATGTTTTTAAGTTGTTTGTAATATGTAAAATTATGATACAAATAACTATTTGTTATTCAAAAAATAGTTTCTTTTAATTTAAACAAGAACTTCTTTTATCCCAAATAAGGTAGCCCAAAATCAATCGGGGGCGGGGGCGGGGGCGGGGGTAAGAAGGGGAATTCGCGGGCGGGGGCGGGGGTGGAAACGATGGAGATTTCGGGGGCGGGGGCGAGGGCGGGGGAATGAGAAAATTTTGGGGGCGGGGGCGGGGTATGCAATCCCCGTCCCGTTTGCCCCGTTGACATCCCTAAAACACATTATATATTTATACGACCTGAATGAGTCTTCCATCGGTTATTTCAAATTGAATCTGAAATTTCAAACCACTATTATTCATTATTTATTGGTTAATTAAATTCTCTTTAACTTCGTAATAGCCCTTAAGAAAAAGAAGGCAAGCAAAAGCCTTACAAAACATTGAAGGGGCAACAAATCCAATCGGCCCAATTACATTTACCAAAATTACACCTAAATTTCACCCAATTAACAACCATAGTGCTGATAATGTCCGTCGTTTTTATGAGATTAGCATGGACCTCGTTGAAAATCGTGTCATTCTTGGCTTTCAAAATGCACCAAAAGTAGCTGTAAATGACTACTAAAATCACATTTGTCTTTTTTTCGACATCGACCCCAATTTGCAGCAAAACCAATGATCTTTTTCACCGTTCTGAAATTTTGTGTTGTTATACCGCACCAAATGAGGATGCACGACAATACCTAACGAGCGAAAGAGCATTCTGCGAGAAAATGGTCAGGGGGAATCCAATATGGTATGACACAGGTGACAAATGTTGGAGGGAACTCAGACACCTCTACGCTCCAAAGTAATACCCGAGGGTATGCAGTCCATGCAAGCTCTCCAAAAAAACCCAATAATTTAGCTTAAACCAAATGATCAGGTTACATACATTAGTCGTCAATTTAGAGTCAATGATTTGCCTAAGGTCATGTGCCTAGAACTTACCATCAACAACTAGTTTTCATCTCCTCGTATCTTTGGGCTTAGTGCGAGAAAAACTAGAGATCAGGTTGAGCATCAAAGTGCAGTTCTTAGATCTCGTTCGGATAACTAGGTAGGAATCTTTGGATCCAAGTAACCACTTGTTGTGAAATTCTTTCTGAAAAAAGGCAAGACTTCTTTTTATCGAGTGAAAACAAAAAAGGAAATCAAGATGCAAGAGATCCCCCTCCCAACCAATCATTAAGCCAAAACAGAGTTCATGTTTTAGAGCCAACATTAAGAGTAATAATCTTTGTCGAATCGATCTCCAAATCATTGAGAACCTTCAATACTTTAAGACAATGTACCAAATTCTGGGAAAATGATTTTTAGCCATATTGGAAATCGGCTTTCTCGAGAGATTGTGAATGTCGGTTGAGCTTTTCGTTTTAAAATGCCAAAACCATTTATAAAGTAATGAAAGATTACTGCTTTTGAGATATCTGACACCTACCCATTCAACCTCTTTATTTGCAAGATATACCTTCCACGAGACCCAACTGATCATGTTGTTTTCATCGTTGCCCCCCCCCCCCCATAAAAACCTTCTACGAATCTTTTCAAGAGCTTCAACAATTGCTGTAGGTGCCTTAAAAAGAGAAAAAATTAATAAAGCGTGATGCTACCAATGACCGATTTTACCAACGTAGGCCTCCCTCTAAAAGAAAGGGTCTTGGCTTTCCAAGAAGAGAGTTTGCCATGAATGCGATCTACAATAGGTTTCCTATTACATTTCAACGACATGTTATCTCCAACTATAACCTCCAAATAGACAAAGGGAAGGACAACCGCTTCACATCCAAGAATACGGGCACAATTAGCTATCTCGACATCTTGAGCTCCTATACCAAACACCTTGGATTTGTGGAACTTAACTTTGAGACCAGAGGCTACATGAAAGGAACGGAGAATGCATGATATATTGACAATGTTTGATCTTCTCCGTTCACCAACAAACAGGGTGTCAACAACGTAAAGTATGTGAGAAACAATAAGACGACCATTGGGAATTTGAACATCGTTGAAGTGACCATTTTGACAAGAGGATTTCATGGCAATATGAAGGCCTTACATAGAAATGATGAAGAGGAAATGGGAGAGGGAGTCGCCTTCACGCACCCCTTTTTTGATTGAGAACTCCTTTGTTGGAGATCCATTTATAAGTTTCTAATATCTTTTCGTGTTGCATTGTCCAAGTTAGTTGCATCATGGTTGCCATAAATGTGTACAATAGTGTAGGAAAAATGTTATGTCATAAGAACTTGAATAATGTCTTGCTTTATGTTCGCCTAAATTTTGAATATGATGTTATGATTTTGTTATTCTTAATGGATTAATAATTTGTAATGGGATATTTGTAATGCCCCAAAAATTATGAGGTAAAAATCTCATTTTTAATTCAACCTTCAACACCATTTATCATTTTCAATCATTTGAAAGAATATCAAAGTAAAACTAGTTATCAGAGTACAATCCCAAAATCACAAAGTGCGAAAACATGAGTGGATGCGTTGTGATCAAGCCGAGCCTTTCCCTTTTCGAACCGGAAGTACCTGAAACCATAACCATAAAACTATAAGCACAAAGCTTAGCGAGTTCCCCAAAATACCTCATACCATACATATCAAACATACAATGGGCCATTCCCCACAACCATCAGGCCCCACACGGAACATATATGTCGGTAACATGCGATAGGCCCCACTTAACACACTCATCAGGCTGGTATACATACAAAAACATACAATACATGAAAGAGTCACAAAGACAATTACCATACTATAACATAATCCACTGGGTCGGTATTGGTGCCTTCGACCCGCTAGTACACTGACAACTATCATACTATAACACACTCATCAAGCTCCGCCTAGCATCGGGCCCCGCCCGGTATATATATAACACATGCAAGGTCACAAAGACAACTAGCGAACAAATAACCATAAATCATGGGCCGACATTGGTGGCTTCGACCCGCTAAACAGTGGGAGCAGGATCACCTCAATCTGAGATAACCGGAACACACGCGTTGCTACTAGCGGAATCCTCACACTGAACATAACCAAAATATCCATAATAAATAATTTAATACAATTTTCCCAAAATCCAAGGTCCCAAACCGTATTCTATACTTCCAATAGGTAAAATACCATTTTACCCTTCTTATATCTGATGCGACAATCCATGACCCAAACTCCATAAGACCCAAGGCCCAAAAGGCCCAAAAGAAAACCTCGTGAGTACGTCCTGCGTACCCAACTCGTACGCTCCGCGTACGACCCACTAAAGCACAAGGTATAACTTGCTAAAGCTCAAGGACGGGGACTTCATGCATTACATTGAGCGTACGCATACGTACGCCCAACGTACTCATCAGATGACCAAAACTTCATATTAAGCACTTAATGCTTAAGACCAAAACGTCCAAACTTGGATCTAACCTCTAAATAAGGTTTTAATCCATAAAGTTGCCAACTTTACTCCTTTGCATGAATTAATGGGACCCAAAACCCGTTTTTATCCATCTAAACCCATAATATGAACATCAACATAAGAATGATTCATCAAAACCCATCAGGATGATATTTTTATGGTTCCTAATAACTCCATAATGGATAAAATTTCCAACTTTATCCATTAGAATGGTCCAACCAACCAATTTTTAGTCTTTAAGTCTCGAAGGGACCAAAAGTGCATCTTTTCCAACTTAATCCATTAAGTCCAAGTCTCAAGCTACTAGATCGGAATCAATATGATGTTTAGATGGATAAAGTTTCCAACTTTATCCATAACAAGGTCACAAACTTTCAAGATCTAAACTTTATGCACTAAAGTGACCAAAAGCTCATAACACCCAAAACTTGCTAGATCTATCAAATGAATCATCAAGATTCAAAATTAATACCTGTAGAAGAAAGATCAAGGTGAACAAAGTCTGGATCTACAAGCTACAATGCAACCAACACTTCACCAATTAGCTCCTTCCTCTCCAAGATGAACCAAGAACACTCCAAAGCACTTAAAAACACCTTCTTTTTGCTCACAAGGCTCAAAATAGGTTTAGGATTTCAAGGGAGGGTTTTAGAGATGTAGAGGCGGAGAATCGAATGGGTTTGGGGAAGTTAAGGAGCTTAAATAGGGCTCAAACCACAAAAATAGGGTTTGGGCACTGATCGCATACGCCCAACATACTCCATGTATGCCTAGTACGCCCAACATACTCTAGGTACGCCCAGCGTACTCCAGGTATGCCTAGTACACCCAATGTACTCTAGGTACGCCCAACGTACTAGACTTAGCCCCACAACTGACCTAACTTCAAAGGTCATAACTTCTTCATTTGAACTCCGATTTCGACGATCCTTATATACACAGAAAGGTAATGAGAAGCTCTACAACCCTATCAATTCTCCTTTGGGATAAAACTTTCCGAACTTAAATCCAAAATTTATAAAATGCCCGAACTATCACTTTACGATTATACCCTTGGGCTCCAAACCACCAACCGAACTCTCAGACCACCTAA